CCCCCCCCCAAAAAAAAAACAACCTGCACTTTCTGATATCGCCCCAAACCCCAAATCCTACACCTTTAAACCCTAAACCCTTGAACCCCAAACCCTACAGAATGCGAACCTCGCCCCTGCGAATGGCGGCCTCGCAGGTGGAGCTTGGGTTTGGGAGATTGGCCTTCACCAACATGGCCCTAAACCCTACAGCCTAAAGCCCTGAACCGGGTACCATAACCGCACGCCCGTTGTTCTACATATCAGGGCATGTAACCTTGACAGACCAGAGAGCAGCATGCCAGCACAGGATCATGGTTTTAAGGGTTACCTTCAGCTACCAAAACCTACTTTTCTGTAGGGTCCCTATAAACTCTATATTAGGGTTTATAATAAGAACCTACAAAAAAGTAGGTTCTGATAGTCTTAGGTAGGATTTAGGATGCAGTGAAGAGTTGTTTGTCAAGTTCGCGACTCAGAGGTCTGATATTGCAAACTGTAGTATTGCAGTTCCGGACACTAAGCATGAAAACTCCAAAACAGCAAGAACCCTGAACCCACCAATCTCTGAAAACTCTACATATCTGAAGTTCCTGGGCCCTCCCAACTAAATCTTTTCGCGGTTGAGGGTCTTCTTTTAGAAAGGATTTAGGAGGCCTGGATCTGCGCCAATCTGCTCTCCATCTCCGCTGTAAGACCTGGACTGGGATCAAGAGCGGAATGTAGGGCTCGCGGGTTTAGGGTTTAGGCTTTAGGGTTTAGGGTTTAGGGAAATTCTCCGGCAGAAAATTCAACGATGACCAGAATAAGGGTCCTGGTGGATTGAGTCAATACTTGGATATCACTTTTTCTGAAACTCAGTTTATGCTGCTGGAGGGCCTACAGTGCCATAGGGTTAACAATATCAACACTGATCGTAGTAGTAGCTATCATAACAACAGAGTTTAAAACATACGGTAGATAACCACCTAAGACTTGATAATGGCGACGAACGACAACACCACACATCCTGAATCATGACCGTACTCCATGCGCCTGACTACCGGTTCTCCACCAGACTCACAGCCTTGCCCTCTGGAACTCTATGCAATAGGTAGTATTGTTAGGGGTACCCCTTAAAGGGTACCCCTTCTGAACCCTACTTTGGGCTCTCTTAAAAGGGACCTTATTGAGAGGGCCTATATCCCCAAGAGTCCCCCTAATCCTAGCTCCCATGCAACACTGCGAGACGTGGAAAGCCCTGAAGAGCAACAAGTCTGAGGACACGCAACTCGAAACCGCTGACCCTAGATCCTGGCCCTTCACACCCTACCCCAAAACCAAAAAACACAGTTTGGACATAGTTACCAAGATTTATCCGGAGGACTTCCATCTTAAACAGGTATACCGCAATACATCCCCAAACCCATCAAAACCCTAATCCAATTAATGAGGCACCCTTACACCACTCTTACATTGGGTCGCCAGCTCTCGTCGTCCCGATCTGCCTCCGCAAGAAGATGAGATTTCTGATCTACCGGCATAGGGATGTTTGAATTTAGGTATTCAGGTTTACGGCTTACATAACGGTTACCAAAACGATAAAAGGCTAACAGACTTCCATGTTGTGGGATCTGCGATGAGGGACGTAGAGTAGATCCTACGAGTCGAACTCTAATTCAGCTTCGCCTCAACATGGAGCCCAATACGGCCTCACGGTTTAGGGTTTAGGGTGTAGGGGTTTAGGGTTTAGGGTCTAGAGGGACGGTAATCTGTTGTGGAACCCTTGATTTCAAGGTTCCTCCCATGTTAAGGAGAGCAAGGGAGGCTCTTAATCAGGGGTCTGCATTAGCCCTAGAACTACCCAACCCTAAACCCTAAACCCTGCAGCAACCCCTGTTCAGGAAGCTACTTGTACGAGCTCTACGGGCCCCGGCACGGCTTGTAGGGTTCAACAGCTTATGGGGCATGTCTTCAGTTGCTTCCATGCTTACAGGAGCAGTGAGTTGGGATGTCGATTAAAAGTTCAGCCTAGCGGAGAGCATTTGGGGTGGAGCTTTCGGGTAATATTGGGCTGTCTGGGCACCGATCAACCCTTAACCCCCCAACCCTAAACTATCAACCTGGACTCTAAATGACGCGGCCTGTCGCCGCTCAGAAGCTGCTCTCGCTCGCTTGCAGCCGAGCGTGGCAAGCGAACCTGGTGCGACTTGGTGCTCCGGAGAACTAACCCTAACCCCCCAGGTACCTACTATATAGGGTACTAGAACCCCTAAATCCCTATATAGTGGGTGCCTGGAGGGTCAGGGTACTACAATATCCAGTTTATCGCCCGAAGAGCAGGCTGCACGAGATCTGATGAATCCTAATTGCGCTTTGACACCTAGCGACAAGCTTCATCTCGCCACATGCCGTATGCACCAGGCTGGCTATCAAGCGGCTCTTGTTGGTTCCCTTTCTTGACCCGGGGTCCTACAATGAGGAATGCTACCAAATCTGATGCGTGAAGGGCAGTTAACTTCTAGCACTATACCTTGGTAAGGTGAAGCAGAAGTTCAGGGAAGCAGGCGAGTGTGATGTTGGCGCAGTCAACATGGAACAATCCGCTGCAAGTATCATGCACTTCAGCTGCGCTAGCCACGGTAACAAAACCGACATATCATCTCAGAGCGTTTCAGGGAACCGGCGCTGGTAAGTACTGAGCAAACACTTACTTCACCCCAGGTCAGAACTTGCAGGGGCTGCTAGATCCGAAAACTACGCTGGATCTTCCGACAAGCATTTAGTGCATCATTGTTACGGTTACTTGCTGCGATGGAAAGAACTTTGCCCAACTAGGGCCAGGGTAATCGACGACGATAGAATTCTGCCTGCCACAATGCTTGTGCACGAAGAAGTGGATGCTCTCTCTCGACGACTGGAGAATCCTTCCAGAGCTGTCTAGGTCGGAAACAATGAAAACATCGATGGGTTGGAGTGTCACAGATCTCAAAAGTTGAACTCGCCACAATGACAGGCAGCTGGAGCCTTAAGTGATTAGCGGCAGCATGCGGCAGCCGTGCCTGCTGCTGCTGCTGCTGCTGCTGCTGCTGCTGCTGCTGCTGCTGCCACTGCTACAGCTGTTGCCCTTCCTACTGCGACTGCTGCTAAGCTACGACTACGACGACAAGGACGATGCACTACGGCCACTCCCCACCAGCACCAACAGTGCCAGCAGCAGCAGCAGCAGTAGCAGCAGCACCACCACCACCACCACCGCCACCACGGTTATTATATAAGATATTGTAAGTAATATAGTTAATAGTCACCATTGTCGCGCGATTATCACTACGACTACGACCACCCGGAAGCGGTCGCATCCTCCACAAAATGCTATCCTGTCTGTCAGGGATGGGCTAGGTCGGTCTATGGCCAATGATTCAGGGACAGCCTTGCATGTGTGAGGGTTTTTGGGGTAACGGCTCATTATAATTCATTTGTATTGGCAAAAATATAAAGTATAGCTACTGTTAGCCCTAAACCCTATAAACCCTAAACCCTGTTACATAGCCACCCCTCAACTGCACTGCCATGTGCCTGGCGCTGCTTTGCCCAGTGGTGTCCGGCCAGCAGCCCTCCTGCCATCCCCCCCTGTCCCAGAAACCAGAGCCCAAAACCCTAAACCCTAAACCCTAAACCTTAAAACCCTAAAGCCCTAAACCCTAAACCAGGTGTCCCAGAAACCAGAACCCAAAACATGCACAGTTTAGGGTTTGTCTGAAACCCCTGCTAAACACCTTCATGGGGGTTTCCGAAAATAGGGGACCCTAAGATAGTACCCTAAATAATAGGATCCTCATTATAAGAACCCCATGCAAGATAAGGTACCCCTTAGTTTCGGAATCTCCCTCATAACACGGTGCTAAATCCGAGACCCTACTAGCTAGACCTCGTCGTGAGGTCCTTTAGACCCTAAACCCTAAACCCTAAACCCTAAACCCTAATCCCGAGAACCACACAGGATCACTTCACTCCTCCTAGGAAGATGCAGTGCAGGTACACCTCGCGGCTGCATCTTGGGTCTTAGGGTTTGGGCTCACGGCTTGGGTTTAGGGTTTAGGGTTTAGGGTTTAGGGTTTAGGGTTTAGGGTTTAGGGTTTAGGGTTTAGGGTTGGGTCTTAGGGTTAGAGGTTTCTGCTGTTTTGGGTTGATGAGGCATTAGGGCTTGTTAGGTTTCGGGTTTGGAGTGGTGTGTTGGCGCTTGGGGCTTAAGCTAAGGCTCTGTAGCTGCGTCTGTTGCTGTAGTGTGGGAGGAACGCTTTGCCTTTGGAACCACAAACACCAAGGAAAGCAAAAGCATATCGGCTCCAAGAGCAGCAAAACAGCTCCGAGTTGGAATGTGTAGCTGTAGCTGCAAAGATCGTAGTATAAGACCGAAATCAGTTCAGATGTTCGAGTCTACTGAAGGAGCAGCAAGGGCACTGTTCAGTGCAACCGAATGAGCCGGCTGGCTTGAGCGTCTTCGTCTGTCGATTCTGTGTACTCTTGTGGGTTTCTTGCAAACGATGTAAACCAACATGTCACAACAGTCACAACAGGGATAACATCTCATGTGTTGTGTAAGTGTATGCCTACATCTTAACTAACTTGTGCTAGTTAAGACCCTCAGCAAGAGCCTAGCTTTCTGTTTTGATTACATAGTTGTTGTCGATCTGCTGAGCCATTATTTTTTGCTTGTGTATACTATGGACGATGGCGAAAAAGACTGCTGCAAAGCTCATGTGCTACCAACGTCCTTGAAAGGCCAGGCATGCTCACTATACACTCCGTATTCAGGGTTTAGGGTTTAGGGTGTCAAGCCCGAGACATCATGCTGACAGTATCCTAGAATGAAATGATGTCGCCAGCTTCAGTGGTAATACTCTCAACAGTGACACTCACGACGCTTGCAACACAACCCCTAAACCCTAAACCCTAAACCCTAAATCCTAAACCCTAAACCCTAAACAATAAATAGCATTAGTACTCCCAAGAAGCTTTGCCTCGCGAGATGGCAGGCTCGGAGCCCCGCAGCATGGCCGTAGAATACGCGGCAAACCCAATCCTAATGCTACTGGAAATGTAGGGGCCTCAATAATTACCAATACTATTTTGGGGGCTCCTTATTATGAACATTTAGTAGAATGGGCGCCAAAAACCTACTTTAAGTATTGAGGCCCCTAGATTAATGTGGGTAGTGCGGCTTGCTCGAGCTATGGGCCGATCCTTCTATTCCATTCTAGCTGCCGTAGTTGAGCATCGTCCGGTTCTGTCTTATAGCGCACGGGGCTTGGATACTGCGTCTGTGCAAGGCAGGTACAATGTGGGTTCTATGATTCCCTAAACCCGAAGCCCCAAACGACGATACCCTATGCAAGACTCGGGAGGCGACATGTGACATGAGACACCACACTATGTTTGTCATGTGCAGAGCTTGACTTGCAATGTTGCAAACCACGGAAGCTCTTTCGATTTCAAGAAAGCTCAAATCACAGGGTGAAAACCCTGACATTTGAGGCCTACGGGGCTCCATTTTTGGGATCGTATAGACACAACCTACGACCCTGGAAAGAACCCAAGGCCACGCCCTACACAACCTGGTGTAAGACCCCTACGAAACACCACAAACCCCTTGAAGGAACCCTTGCATGGTCCCCTGGGACTTGTTTTGCTTGTTGAGTTTGGAGCAGGATCTGGCCAAAATCTGGCGCCTGCGCTTCCTTTGGAAGCCAGCAACCGCAGCATCCGCGAGGTGTGTTTAGGGTCTGTATAAGAGTTTTGATCAGGGTTATATGAGGTGTCTGTAAAGTCCTTGTAAAAGACCAGAGCTTGCAGACCAAACTGTTCGAGCTCGCAGAAGTGACAAAGTGAAACAGTGGCCAGATTGGCTGCATCATGCAGAAGAGACTGCCATGCAAAGAAAGTACAGCTGCCTGTCACACCCCCCGGGGCACAAGCCCCAATTCCCTCAAATACTGAAGATCCAAGGAAGAAAGCTCAGCTCTTTGCCCTGAGTTGCAGAACCCAAGAGGTAATAAGAATAAAAAAGTTTCATATTAAATCGTAGAACTCACTCCTTGGTTTGGGATTTCTCGAGTTTAGGGTTTAGGGTAGGTCCTACACTTCCAACTGACGGCTGGCGATGATTAGCTCAGACTTTGCGCAGGCCTCTAGAGGATTGAGGCTCGGGGTTTATAAAGAACATAGCTACCTAGGGTTTAGGGCTTAGGGTTTAAGGTTTTTCCAGGGTTCGGGGTTTATACCCTCGATGAGGCAAGATCCCCAATTTTGCCCAGACCCCCTCTTGAGTTTGAGGCCTGCGCCAAGAGTTTTCAATCTGGAGTCGGGGGTTTGGTAGTTATGTCGTGCTCACAGCTGTTGTAAGTCTGTCAAGCAACCGTTGCAGCAAAAGGCTACAATAATCTAGCCACGCATTTGTTTGGGTGGTAGTGCTTGAAAAACGCTACCGTTTACCCACTGAGCACGTAGAGTCTTCCTGGTTCGTCCTCCAAATTCCTGGGCCTTCCTCTCCTGGGATGGATGTCGGCGATTAAGAGCAGGGGAATTAGGACAGTTTCAAGTGTTACAAGAACTCGACAACGTTTTGAAAGGCTTACGGGCTTGGGTCTAGCAGTCTACTGGAGAGCCCAGGGTATAGTCAGTAGGCGACTAGCAGGATCATGGCTGGTTGGGATATTTCTACTTCATATGACATAACTCGACTTCTAGCCCCTAGCCTATCTATAGGGGCCACGAGAACTGGAATCGGCTTTGGGGTTACGTGATATATAGTCTGAGGCTTCAGGGAGATGTGCTTACTATGTTTCAACCCTCGGTAATACCCTAAACCCTAAACCCCATTACTTACCCAGGAGCCTGGTAAGTTCTAGTTCCGGAAGTGTAACGGAGCAAAGGGGCCATTTTTAATAAGGCTTACAAGGCGAGAAGCTCATTGAAACGTCTACACCAACCTCGAACCTGCAATCGAGCCCACATACTTAAAGGATCATGGGACTTAGTAAGTAGGGTAATAACTAAGGTAACTATACTTATACCCCCAATTAGGGGACTTATAACCTTACTTACTAAGTCCCATGATCCTCCAAGTAGGGCGCATCCTCCTCCACAGGTTTCTCTGGTTTTGGTCGTTGTTTCTGCGCTGACAACTCCATGCACAGGCTTAGGCGCCACCAGCCTCTCCTCTCAAAATCTCCCGAGTACGAACACCTGCCTACCCCAGACACCTGAAAAATTCCCGTGACAAAACTTAACCGAACACCTCTCCCATCACCCCTAAACCCGAAACCAATAGGCCCTAAACCCTAACCCTTAAACCCCAAAAGGCCCTGAACCCTATTCGCTAAATGTCCCTAAACCCAGAAGGCCCTTCGGCTTGGGGCGAAACCCCAAAGACCCTAACCCCTCAAACCCACACCCAAAAGGCCTAAAACTGTCACCTCTAACCCCCGAAATCCAAATCTAAACCCTAAACCCTAAACCCTAAAACCCTAAAACCCAAACCCCTAAACCCTAAACCCTAAACCCTAAACCCTAAACCCAGGCTGTACTTCCTGTCGCCCCACCAGGCTCGGGCTGAGCTACCTTACATTTGCCTGCCGGGTGCGTGCCGGGACAGCGAACTCTACGCACTTCGATGGGTTATGGGTTTTGGGTTTAGGGTTTAGGGTTTTAGGGTTTAGGGTTTCAAACGGCAAGTGCTACACCCTAAATGAACCCTAAACCCTAATCCCTGTAGCCCTCAACGCTGTAACCCGATCAGCCGTATAGGCCCTAACCCCACGATCTTCCAATTCCGTCAGATGTAATTTAGGGTTTAGGGTTTAGGGTTTAGGGTTTAGGGTTTAGTAATTCTTCAAACGAAGCCTAAGAATTGGATCTCAAAAGCCTCACGCTACAAACCCAAAGAATAGAACCTTAACTCCCTAAATCCACACCCCACTCAACACGAATGAACTTGCCACCCCTTGGAGCTAAACAATAACAAGAACAACGCTGGTTTCAATAGCAAGACAAGTAGTAAGATCAACACCAGCAATAATTGCACTGATAGTAAAACTATGTAAGAAGCGTCATCATCAATGAGTGGCAGTTGGGATTAGGGGGACCCATAGGGATATAGACCCTCTCAAGAAAGTCCCTTTTAAGAGAGCCACAAGTAGGGTCAAGAAGGGTCCCGTTTAAGGGGTCTCTCTACCCATAGGCCCCAGTAGTTCCTTTTTCTGGGGCGTTGTTAGTGATATTGCGGAGAGTTTGCTGCCTTTTCTTGAAGCATAACTTTTATTAAGATGATAAGCTGTTAGTGATATTGTTATATCGGTTTGGCTCTCTAATCTTACGGAACACACGGTATATCATCAGCTTGGCTTGGGTCTTGTTTGGCTCTCTAATCTTATCATCAGCTTGGCTTGGGTCTTGTTCGGCTGAGGGGTTTAGGGTTTCGGGCTTTAGGGTTTAAAGGGGTTTAGGGCCGAGGCCCTGAACAATCAAAACGCCCAGCGCCCGAAATGGACGTTTTTTTGCACAGCTGAACCAGCCACTCAGCATGTCACTGCCAGCCCATCACATAATTGAGCTCCTGCAACAGGGTCTAGGGCTGATTTTTATTGGGGTTCAAAGTCTAAGTTCCCAAACAAATCTCGCCTTGATGATCGCTGTTGCCACAGGCAACGGCCACGAGTTGCCCAGCGCACTGCCCTGCTGCCGGCTTGTCAAAGCATGCCAATCCGTAGAGTCGGGCCATCCTTGTGCTCGCGCAAGCTCCTGATATGGGATGTAATCACGACATCTGTCAAAAGCATTATATAAATTCCCCCCACCTTCGTCATGATGTGGCGAGCCCTCGAAGTGATCCAGAAGCTGTGGCCTCCACCACGACTTCGCGTAATGCATGGCAACCTGGCTGCGGCAACATCAACTGCAGATCACAATGCTCAAAAGCCAAACTCAACTGAAGGAGCCCGCCTCTCTTTCTTGGGTTTGCCGCAAAACTTGCGACTCGCCGC